TTGTCAGCTCCAGCCTCAAGCAGCAATCGCACGACTTCCAAGTGGCCGTTCTCGGCTGCAATGAACATCAACTCATCTGTCCCTACTGCATTTGTGTTAGCTCCAGCCTCGAGCAACAATCGCACAACTTCCAAGTGGCCGTTCTGGGCTGCAATGTACAAAGCTGTTGCCCCATTTGCATTTGCTGCATCTTTGTCAGCTCCAGCCTCGAGCAACAATCGCACGGCTTCCAAATGGCCGTTCTGGGCTGCAATGTACAAAGCTGTTGCCCCATTTGCCTTTGCTGCATCTTTGTCAGCTCCAGCCCCGAGCAACAATCGCACGACTTCCAAGTGGCCATAGGCGGCAGCCATGAGCAAAACCGGCCTCCCATTTGCCGTTGCTGCATCTTTGTCAGCTCCTGCCTCGAGCAACAATTGCACGACTTCCAAGTGGCCGTTCTGGGCTGCAATAGACAAACCTATACCATTCGGATCGTGCGGTTTTTGCAGCAGTTGTTCGAGATGTGCAACACGATTCTCCTGGCAGCTCTGAAGTAGTTCTTCTTTCGTGGTCTCGTCAGGAATGCACAAGGGCATAATTATAAGTTGTACATTTGGCATTTGTGTTAGAGGCATGTCATCCTCCAATTCTCCAACCTGGTCTATGAAGAGTCTTTGCTGAAACCTCGAGCACCCAACCCGAGCTGAAAGAAGTCGCTTTAAGTCCAGACCAGTTTTCCCGCTTTCCACCATGCAACGCAGCTCGTCCTCATCAACCTGAGCAACCGTGTTGCCAGACACAGCAACAATCTCCATCCTTCCGGTTCAGAAGGCCAGAAATTCCACTTGAGCCCAGGTCAAGCTCAAGGCAACATGGCGATGCAAGAAAATGGCGTAAGAAGGCACGGGCACGGGCGGGGGGCACTTAGCTGACAAGCTTGAGTGAAAACCAGGAATTTCAGCGTCCACGCCAGTGGCCTTCAACCTATGAACGAATTGATTCGGCCAACAGTGGCAAAACACTTGATGGCCAACAGTGGCCATGCTTCTTGGATCTTCTTGGACTCTTGAGGTGAAAAAGATTGAAGACATCCTTGTATTTTGGGAGGCTCCCAGGTTTTGGGTCAGGAACTCCAAATCAAACGCATCTTCGTCCAAACCATGAAGCGTTCCTGCGTTCCACGGTCGGTTGGCAGTCATCGATGGCCCCGAAAGGATGATCAGAACGGGTCGGTGGGCGGAAAACGGACCCAGGGGAGCCATGGTCACTATATGTTAGATCTATGAAGATCTATGAAGATCAGTTTTTGGGAGTGTACATGAGTGTAACATGGTTATAACGGTTATACATGGTCTTGCACTTCAAAGGATTCCAGGGATGTCCTAGTCCTAGTGGCGTTTTATTCTGGGTGAGGTATGTTGACCTTGCGTCCCTGCTATCAGCTAGAGAACCCATACAACATCTGAATTCTGAATGTAGGAGTGACATCAACTTCCGCCCCTCAAAGATATCTTCTGGCATGGCAAAGGCGCCAATTAACATGCACTTCCTGAAGATAGAGCCATGCCAAGCCACCATAGTAGAGCCCCGCATACTCTTGGAATTCCGCCTTGCTCTTCGATTGCCTCAACTCGTTTTGCACCTCCACCCAACAAAAACGTGCGGAGGACATATCCAAACGAATGTCCAGGAACTCTGCAGCTAGGACGCTCCAAAACACGTGGCAAGACGCATCCAAAAACCTCAGCCTCTCCGCTGAGTCCAGTCTCAACTGAGTCAGTCAAAAGGAACACAATACTTTTTTTCCATTTTTTTCCATCGAATCGGCATGCATCGGCTATACATTCGTTACTTCCCGAATTCGGCTTCCTCACGCTCGACCCTTCCAAGCATCCAGCGACAACGCTGACCGGGCCGACGTCGATGGCAGCATCCAAGTTTGGAGTCCCCGTGGAAAACGATCATGGACCCCGAAAACCAATGGTTTAGTAGAGGAAAAGCGTCGTTCTTAGCTCCCATTCGACCCTGGTCCATGTGAGTTTTCGAGAGTGAACAAGTCTTAGGGTTTGTCACGTAGCGCGCCATCTACTCCATATATTTCGACCATCTGGGTGTCCTTTCTGGACTACCCTTATAAGATGTCCAGCCAAAACACCCAAATGGTCGGATGGTGCTGGTGTTTTTGCGTTTGCGCACGGAAAAAACCGTGCCGAGGCGCCAATAGTCGAAGGCCCATCGGATATCCTTGGTCTCTGCGCGGTCCATCTGGCCCAGAAGCCCGTGCCTCGCGGTGCCCGGTGGAGGTCGGGACCGTCGTTTATAGCGGTCGTGGTCGTGGGATTTGAAGAATTGAGTTCAGAATCTCTCGCTTGGGCTGGGTATACATTCATATGGAGTGATTATGGAGTCCATTTTGATAAACAGTTAATAATGGAGGTATTTTGATAAACACGTGGGCTGGGTTGGGCATTGTATTAAGTCTAAAGTTTGTTCTGAAGGAATCTCTCACTTCAACTGGGTTCCTTGCGACGACCGCGGTGTGAAGCGGAAGACATCGGATCCAAGCGTCTCAAGGTCTCATTGGGACCCCAATTCACCCACCTGGGTTGTCTTTATACGTCTTTATTGAACATGGTCTTCCACCACCGGTGATTTCTCAGGTTCCATGTGGTCCGTTTGCGGAACGGAAATTGGATGAACCTCCCAGGTTCAGGAGCATCTGAGACGTGAAGTAACTTTGGATGAACATGCTGCACCGAGGCAGAAGAAGGATGGTGCGGCCGTCAGTTGCCGCTCTTTGCAAATAAGCGGGTGCTCCCAGCCGCCCAAGAAGAGCCCAAGGAACCGCCCAAGTATAGGAACTATAGGCACTCAAAAACCATGAACAATACGGGGTTTCTGCTCGAAAAAACCCGGGCCCCTGGTGTCCAATTGGTATGATATATTTCCTTATCACCTCCCTTTCCGCGCATGGTCACCATCCACATCGGAAGCCCGTCCACTGGATCTCCGCTGGATCCGCGCTCCGCTTCTCGCGGGTGACCGAGGCCCCCCAGCTCTCCAGGCAGCGAGGTGGATTTATCCTGGGCGACCGCCGTCCGTCGACCCGTGGCACACCCGAACTCCCAAGCGGTGCTCCCGCGCGGCGCGGACGAGTGGGTTCAGCGAAGCAAAGCGTGGCATGTGGTGAGGCAAAGGAGCCAAAGGTCCATGCTTGGTGACTTGGTCACTCTAATCACTCGATCCTTGCGAGCTCAAGAAACTGCGTGTAAATCAACTGCTACACCGGTCACCTGCAGGTTTTACATACTCCACCTCGCACTCGCATCAGCCTGGAGTCCATCCACTTAAAACAAAAAACATGTACTTCGCAGTGAAAGACCCCTTCGCGAGGAAGTGCTGAGGACCAGTCCACTGCCCAGTGAGGGAAGTCCTGGAGCAACATGTCGTTTCTGGACGAAAAGCAAGTCATGTGGCAATATTATCGGGAGAAAAACAACATGAATTACTTCAGTTTGCTTCTTGGACTTATCTATCTGTGCCTTTCCAGGTCTTTGTGGCGAAAGTGTTGACGGCTTCCTCTGCACTGCGAAGAACGTTTGTGCAACCGTCTCTGACCTCTTGGTCCAACTCGGGAATACAGTCTGGCACCGTGGGTGCTCTTCGCTGCCAGCACCACCCAGCTCGGGTGGTTGTTGCAGGGAAAATATACGTAGTCAGGGGGGGGGCTATAAACCATCCTTAGGGTGGTCCTGGTGCATGCTGCTGCTATATATATTGTAATTTCCAAAGAGGCATCGGACACGTCTTTTTCTCGCGACACACGCCAAAACAAGCTCCCGCAGATGTTTGCTGAAGGTTCTTGGGGGCAAACAAGTTGTTGTGTTGGCATATGGTACGCCACCAATAGAGCCTGCCACACAAGCGACTATGGGGATAGCCTTTGATTTGGGCGACTCAAGTCTACGATCTTCTCCAGACTGAAAGGGTTCACCAAGAAAGGGGAGATGGGTTCGAGTTTCCACCAATGAGGGTGCCAGCTATCCCGCTGATTATGTAAAAAATAATACAACATCATCATTAGCAGCTTAGCAATACACACGTCTCCTTCGCAGTCAATGCCGTGACAGTTCTAAGCAGGCTACGACAACCGTCCCCCCCAAAAAAGACCGCTATTGGTCTTAACCAAATCCATCCAAAGCCAGTCATGACCGAGATCCATCACCTGGGCGTGAACCGCCCTACGCCCGGCACACCGGCGGTTTTCATCGCGAGGACCCGAAAGCGCTTCCGGCGGAGCGCCCACGGACGGACTGTCCAGGACGGAAGGGTAGCGAGTCCGGGATCGGCATGTTGAGTTCCGCAAAAGCCTGCAGAAAGGGGACGGTCAAGTCCTTACCCCTTCGGCCAGTCTCGTTGTCCCGTTTTTAAGAAAGCGCTCTCCACCGCCCAGGCTCTCTCCTGCAGGCCCGTGCATGCGTGCACCACCACACAGTCCACCACTGCAGATAAGAAGCGTGCAGCCTGGCCGAGCGAACGGTTTTCAACGTGCCGTTAATAGGCGTCAGCAGGTCTTCTGATTTTCAGTGTCAGGTCTTCTCAGCTGCAAGGGGTCCCGAATCATTGCCGGTCTCAACCCAGTTGAGCGACCTCTTTCACCTCTCTAGGGTGAAACTACTGAACCGTTGAACGGCATGGCCAAAGGACGCAGCCCGCAATTTAAGCTTCGTTCACGTCACACGCGTCAGCTGACGCAGCTGATGTATACCTGAACATGCGATCTCCAGAGCCGTGGTATGTTGTGGTGACTGTTGTGGTGCTGAGCAGTATATAGACCCGCCAAATAATGATAGACAAGTTTATCCCCACATATCCGGACTAATTACATAATTAAGTCAACTGCCAACTAACTAAGAATTTGGATGCATTTAAACCGTTTAAGCCTATCCGTTTGGGGACCACTGTCAGATCTACAAGCCGAACACACTTCATTAACGCAATTCTGCACTCCACTCTCTTTGCACCATGTCGGATGCGCAGGTCTTGTCCGCTGGTCGCGAGAAATTTCTTTGATCCTACCCTTCCAGGTTGGAGGTTGAACCAAAGCAACTTTTCGGTGATGTTCATAGATTGACTCTGCGATGTTCTCCACAAGGCCCCCAAATCGAAGTCACTGAATGTATTGTGAAAACATGTAAAAATCCATTTTGGCTTGTCCGATTTCCACAATCCAAGGACACAGCATCCAACCTGTCTAACCATCTAGAGAGCCAGCTTCTGCAAGGACTGTACACATGTGCCGGCAGTTGCTCTGCAGCACATGGGGACCTTTGGAAGCTCAACTCAACTCAGATCTTCATCTTGTCGCCTGTGGTGCTTCCAAGGAAAAAACGACAAGTCTTGGCAGGTTAAACCAAACCTGTGAATGCCCCCGGGCCGTCAAATGGTCACGTCAAACAAGGATACTGCACATGGTATTGGCATTGACACACCCAACTTCCATCTTTCATCTATGGATCCCTGGTGAACTCAACCGCTCGGTCTGCGGCCACTCTCAAGACCCATCAGCTTCACGGGTCACCCGATCGGTCCGGTCTTCGGGTGGCCGGGTGACGTTCCGGAGCATGGGACTTCCAGGACGGACTGAGAAACAGCCAGAACCCCCCTGGCACCACCCCAACTGGCCGTTGCATATATGGCATACACGGAGCGTTTGGGATTGAGGGAGTCCAGTTGTTCCAGTCCTTTGGGGCATTTCGAAAGGCAAACGGATAGACGACATATACGGATTGAGGGTTGGATGGGATACTGGCATACGTACCGAGTGACGTACCGAGTTGGTGCGAATGGTGCCATCAACGAATAGAACATCACAGCTAGACTGTTAGTATGACTCATGAGCCCTTGAAAGAATGGTCTCCCCAGCCATTCCCCATGGCCCCGGCTCCGCCTACAAATCCCAAACGAAGTCGGTCACGCCCGTGTAGAAAGACAAGCTGCCTGAGTGAAGCTGACAACATCAACATCATCAAAGGGATTTGAGGACGATCTCGCTACGAGTTCGGAGTGCATGGGACGTTTTGGGCATCAATTCAGCTCCAAAACGGGCCTCCAGTTGCACCTTCTAAGCAGGTCCTTGGGGTGGTGGGTGATCAACGCATCGAATGGACGGCCAGGAAGTCTCCAAGTCAAGCCATCTCACCATACCCCCAAATCCACTACAAGTCATTGTGCTTGCCTTGCCATTGACGCTTGCGCCTCACTTAGGTGGGCTAATTGACCCTAGTAACATATGGCAAAACTATAGTTTCCTTCCATGATATTCCACTTCCATGTGCGCCAACCCCAAACTCCTTGTTGAACCTTCTTTTTTTCACCTTCTGCTCACAAAAGCCTGTGGTTTTTTTCACACCGTTCACCGGTCCAAACGCTGCTCCCTTCGTTCACCGGTCCCGGCGGCAGATGCGCTTGAGGCCGAAGTCCTTCAGGGCCTGTGCCGCCTGGCGGAGCAGGGCTCGGCATCGGAAGGCCCGGGGGCCGGGCTTGTGGAGCCCTAAGGAAAGCATCCACTGACTGGTGGGACGAGCGCATGGAACCAGGGTAGTCCAATGGATATCCTAAGGTATCGATATAGCGGAGTGGAGGGGTCATTCCCTCATTCCCTACTAAGCACGAGTTAGTCAAAGGTTCTTTGTAAGAATTTGAAACGAGTCGAACATGTGGTGATGCTCGAGTTTTGCTTACGCAGGGGGGTCAGCTAACAAAGACTGATATACTCAAACATCCTAAAACCCGGTGCTGACCCACCTGCATAGCCTCGGCACACAGTGCTGGACTCAAAAAGGCTTCAGTGAGCTTGGGAGTGATGCTCTCCGAAACACCAGTGATGGCACCCTTCCTTGCGCCCGACACACGGCCTTCGCGTCGACTAAGGGGATCATTTTCTCCAAAGATGCCTTCACCCCTTCCTGCGCGATCGACCCGCAGCTGAGCAGCTGGAAACTCGAGCTCAGCCGTGTAGCACGGGGGGGTTGGAGGAAGGTCGTTTTGACTCCCGCCATTCAAAAGGCCCAAGGGAAGAGCCAAAGAGATGGCTCGCCCATCGCCAAGCAGCAAAGAAGAACTTCCACTAGCCAAAGACTACTAAGCAAACCCTCAGTGCCAGGGCTTTTCGATTTTCGACTCTTAGCCTTTGAACTGGCGTCCTATAGAGTAGCCCATCTGCATTCCAAGAATATGTCTTGTACAAACTACAAACTGATGTCCCACTGAAGGTTTCATGCCAACTGGCACCATTCACACTCACCACAAAGCACAACTTTAACGATTCGAAGCGCTGTGGGATCCCTTTCACGCCCCAAGCACCAAAACGGTTTGAATCTTAACATACCAACGTATCTGATACAAAACACGGCCAGTTGCCTCCCACAGTGGAAAACGCCACGCGTGTGTTGCCGCTGTCGCCAGTTGGAAACCGCTCCTCGTCCCGGTTCTTCACCGGCAAAGCGGCCGCCAAAGCTCGTTCATAGTCTTCCGTCTCCTGACACGGCCAAACCAGGAAGAAGAACCCTCGTTAGAAAGAATCATCCCTATAGGATCCATATATCATCCCTTTTTGGGGCTCCAGTTGTACCTCCTCAGGTTCTGTATGACTGGACCCGAACCTGGCACCCACCCCAGTCCCACCTTCTCAGAAGGTACGACTGGAGCCCTATAGGGAGTATATACCTTCTCAGGTACGGTGATGTGTTCGACACTGAGACATTATAGGTGCCAGGGTCAGGTCCAGTCGTACCGAACCTGAGAAGGTACGACTGGATCCCTGTAGGGCACGGTGGAAGTGGATGGCAGCCAACCCCCGTTTTGGGACCATGAAATCTGCTATGAAAACCAGGGATTGTTCATTTCCATGATGATTTCAAGGTCAGAACAACGGTTTCATTCATCGCATGCCAAGTTCCATGCTTTAAGCCTGCGAGGCCGCCGAGGGGAAACGAGCCGGTGAGGCCGCTTCTTCACTTGGGATAGAACAGCGGATGATGATGGTCATCACACACCCAAGCAACTCTCCTTTCTGATTCCTTTCCTCTGTACCCGGACCCCAAGTGAACAGCCCCAAAGGAAATCCGAGGAAGGAGATTCGAGTTTAACCACCAATCAGCACTCTTCTGACTGCACCATCCACCTTCACCCACTCCTCCCACTTTGACCCACGCTGCGCCACAGCCGCGGCGACTTTTGCAGCACTCGCCTTTGCCTTCAGAGTAAGCCAAATGCGTAGGAGACGTGCACAAACATGTCCAACAATTGATGAACATGCCTAAAACATGCTTTTTCTTTCTTGGACATTCCAAAGCTCTGAACAAAGTATTAGCCAAATCTCGACGAGTCTTGATAATCTTTGTATAAACAGCCACTGGAGTGAACCCGCCGTCATCACTAGTGGTTGGTAACTATCAAGAAAAGGTGGGTAAACCCTGGGTACCCTAAACATAAGTCTCATTTCCTATGCATGTCCTCTCACTTTCGACCCCAAAAATCCCCCCCAAAACACACCGAAAGTACCCAACCTCTGTGGCCGCCGCGCTGAGGAAGTGCCTGGCTGCCAAGCAGGCGCTGCGGCTTTGCAGTGCTGCATCGCCTCCCAGCGGTGTCCATCGAACAGAACAAAAGCCGAAAGCGTTGTCAACGAGGTCCGTGCGTTTGGGTGGGTGGTAGGCCACGATCTCCAAACAATGAGCGGCTTTTGGAGAGGGCAAGCTGTTTTGTTTAACTGTTACCAGTGGATTGAGAGTAGATAGCACAAATGTACAGTATACACATGTCCAAGTTGGGTGGTCAATATGGACCCACATCTGTTGAAGACATCTTGGGGTTGTGCCATCGCTGAAACCATTGGTAAGTGGTCGATGTTAGGTTCAGTTCTGTCTTGGCCTTCGGAGGTGTTTGCAGGTCAAGTATCCTTTTTCTGCTTTGAATCAAGTCCTGGCTCCCATCCTATGCTCTTTACTGCTGCGACTGTTGCAACCAGTACCGTGGTGTTAGGCTCGGACCTTCTCCCGGCTCTTGGGCTCGAGGCTTTTTCAGGCAGACGGCCAATTCGCTCGTTCCTCACCTATGGAAACCATTCCCTATAGTGAGCCTGGCCCTAGTCTATGTCCATCTACCCGATAGCCGGCTGTAGCCTGCCCCACACAAAGCTCCATCACAGCTAGGGAAGCCACCTGCGAGAAGCGAAACCTAGCGCCTGGCAGTCGCACTGCTAAAGCCTTGCTTGCAAACTGGCACCCATCTGTGTTTGCGTCCACCAAGAACATCTCCAGTCGCCCAGCTTTGCCCAACGCTGGTGCCCCGCAGCCCGCCATCGTTGAACCGCGGTTGGAGCACGCTACATCTCAGCTTCGAAGTCACTCATCCCACGCTCGTCTCACTCCCACTGCATTTCAAGTTCTTGGCGGCAACCGGCGGGCCTGCAGCACATACGCTAGCGCCCCCGTATTGAGCGCAAGAACTTGGAGAATCCTAGTCGTTACCGGCAAGCTTAACCCACACTGTGCCAAACTGGCCGCTGGCAAGCTCCAAGTCCAGCAACCCAAAATGACTCGCATGCCCATGTGCATGGATGATGCGCACTCCAGCATGCTCTGCTGCGCGTTCAGCGCCTGTCATCCCAGCCCGACACCTGAAGGCTGATGAATAACAAAGCACTGAAGACTGCGACAAGCAGGGAGCAGCGCCTCGGCAGCGCGGCACAGCGCCTCTTCTGCATGTCTGTTCCATGGGAAGTCACACACACACGCGAGCGCACAGTGCAGCCATGCTGTCTTAACCCACCACAGTACGGTGCATTTGGAGATTGCTTCTGTGCAGAGTACGCTTCACGCAAGAGGTTTGCCACAGGCGCTTGTGCCAACCTCTGCTATACATACGCCTCAGCTCCAAAGTCTGCTGCAAAATGCTTCAAAGTGACATGCGTTGACCCATGCGTTCGCCTGAAGCATCTCCAGTCGCCCCGCTTCGACCAATCAAACGAAGCGCGCCATCCTTGAAGGTTGGCTTGTCAAACATCCCAAAGAACACCACTGCGTCACTGCTGTAACTCAAGCACCCATAATCTGCTCAGGTTCAATGGGCAACCTTGGCGCCTTTCAACTTGTGGCTTTCACTGCTCTGCCAGCTAGCTACTTCAATACTCCAACGGTCTTCCAATAGGATCGCCCGCCCCCACGCAAGAAACCACAATGGATTCTTCTGGAGCACAGTAGGCAGCGCAGCCTGCAGTCATCGGGCTTTGGCCTACGCCTACGCTACGCTACTTTCTGAACCAAAGCAAAATCACTGACATGAGGGCGCTACCGACATCCAGAACACAGGTGTTGAATGTCCACGTAAAGTTGACATTTGTCACATTTCAACACATTCACGACCTCTCTCTCTTTGTTTTGCAAACGAAAGGCCCTACTGCAAACATCGAACTCGGCCATTGACATCTGTCTTTAAAACCAAAGCCCAAGTGATGGGAGAAAACATATCGGCCACAACCCCCCCCGGTCCGTCCGGACGGCCTGGGCCCACCAACAGGGCCACGCGGTTCGCCAGCGCCTCCAAGGGCTCCCAGGAGCGGCCGGTCCTGAGGTTCCGCGAGACGCGAGAGCGTCACAGTGGTTGGGGGGAAGTGCTTTGGGAGGTGGCCGGAGCACCAGAGAAGACACATACAGAGAAGCACATACAATAGCGCCCAAACACGAGCCATGGGACTTACATATAGGACTGCCGCCCCATTGACCCCTCAAATCACCCCAACTGATCGGCATATATGGCATACATGGAGTGTCTGGGGTAATAGCATATGAGAATGTTTGCCAAAGTCTACTTCAAGATTATGAGTTGGATCAACTCTCATGTCAGATGCGTTGGACGTTCCGGTGTTATAAATAGCTGGCTCCCGAACGTCATAAGGAAACAAATCAAAAGAAAGAACCAACCAGTCTGTTCCTTGCTTTATTCTTTTCCCGTTTCGTGTATGCTTGCTTGCTTGCAACCTTCCGTGGCTCCTGGGAGGAACATGATGCATTTCTGCGAAAAGGCCGTGCCTTTGCGCTTGTCGGACACATCGCTCCAGGCGACAGATCTAGAAAAACATATTTTTTCAGCAATATTTCAACTGCCCCAAGAAATCCCATGGAACTTCTGCACCCACCTGGATGGATATATGAGGTCCTTTCCATGGTCCAACAACCACCGCGCGTGGCCAAGTGACCTGGTGTGGAGCTTCGCCATGCTTGCGGCTAACGCCAGGCCCGCGCTTTGCACCTCGTGGGCGAGATGGACAAGTTTCTGAACATGTTTTTGGGCCGGGCCTCTCCAAAACCTCAGGAGGTTAGAGAAGTGGATCAACCCCTTGGTTGCCACTCCACAATCTACATACTTTGTGCAGGCGGCAGCTTGGTTGCCAAGGCATGAGATCGCGATTCGCGCATGAATGTGAAATCAAACGATAGAGTGGTCCGCCAAGTGGTTCTGTTCAACAGGTTCATGAACAAAATCTACACATCAGTCACCCCAACATGCCCTTCGTCGGAGAGACGAGCAACATGCACCACGCACGCCCCACATCTTTCCCATCTCAAACAATCTATCCCTCTTGCATATGGAGTTCTTGCGAACATCCAATACCTATACACCCTAGGGCTCCAGTCGTACCTTCTGAGAAGGTGGGTCTGGGGTGGGTGCCATGAGGGTCCAGTCATACCAAACCTGAGGAGGAACAGAAACTGAACAAAAATGGACGGCTTCTCACCCCGAACAAGCCAAGCATGACAGCACGGCTGCGACTGGGAACAAAACGACCGGTCCTGCCTCGGTTTGGCTCTCCTTCAGCAACTGCGGCAAAAGACCCATGGCGGCCTCGTCCTCGTCCCAGAACGGGAGGACGGGTAGTTCATCCAGTGAGGGCGTGTCTTGGATGTATACCATGGCATTCCAGAAACCAGGTGGAGGCATGGTCTTGGATGTCTTGGAGACTCAGTGCATCCAAGAACCATGGTACTGAAGTGCTGCGAAGCACTGCACATCCCCAGTTCCACACCAGACCGACCTCCTGTTACCAGCCGTGCGGATGGGTACGCTCCTGCAGGGTCCCAACCGGCGTCTTTGTCTCCTACAAGGATTCTGCACTGCACTGTTCTACAAGGATTCTGGGCGTCCTTTCTTTTCATCCTCTTTTTGGAAGATTCTCTTCCAGAGTGGTGATGGGCCATGACATTCCCGCTCCCCAAGCGACCGGCTCGAAGAAAAACACACCCAAAAGCCTCATCCACAAGCCTCCTCTTCTGCACTGAGGTGGGGAACTCCATAAACCACTTGATATTATGTACAACATTGCCCAAACACTCCATGTCATGGTATTATTATGGTATATATTTACATCCATTGGGATGGTTGACCCGGGGTCTCACCTTGATCGGCATTTTAAAAACACCGTGTCGACGGGCTCTTTCTCGCTCTGCACTCGCACCATTTCCTCTGGTTTCCTCACGTGTCCGTCACCGGGCCCCCGGGCTGCGAGACTCAGCAGCTCGTCCGCGGCAGGCTCCGCGAGGAAGGGCTGCTGGCACCAGCAAATGCCTCGAGCGAGCGAAGGTGGTGACCGGTGTGGAAACACCGACGGTTTCAGTCAGTGAATTGATGGAGTCAGACCTGAGGTGCAGTGAACTTCTGCATGGACTCATAGCAATTTTGCTGTCTCCATTGCGGATAGGGCTCTTGATTGTTTTTGAAAAACAGAACTGAAATATAAGATGAAATTAGTTTGATTCGCATCTTTGTACGAGCTTCATGTCGAGATATGAACCGGTTCAACTGGGTCCTCAACTGGGTCTGCTTTGAAGTCTTTGAAGAGCCTACAGGGCCTAGCGTTCACGTTCATTGGGCAAAATTCAGTGGTTGAAAAGCCTCATCGTGAAGAGCTGGCTGCATGCCACGCAGCTTTTCATTGTCGACAACATTCCAGCGAGCAGAAATATCAGACACTTTGTGAGAAACCCGCTGAGAAACTATTTCGGCCCCCAAATCAATTCTCACACACGCCCAGCACAGGAAGCGTTGTCATTGCACCGGGCCCGGATGTGATGAAGTGCAACCTCACCGGTCTTGCCCGTCCTGGTGCCTTTGTGGGCACGCAAATCCCAAAAGAAGTCCACATGAACAGCCAGGATGCTCGGTAAAATGGACATGCTTTTGACATCTGTTGATCATATGCCCTCCCTGCAACAATCATGGAAGTGGACAAACCCCTCTTGGCTAAGGAACATAGTCTTCCAATGGGGTCATGGTCCACTTCCATGATTGTCTTAATTGTTGGAGGGGGAGTATATCAATCTACTCCTTCTCCGGGATGGTGCATCTGCAACCTGACAGAAACACTTCTTTTTGAGACCATCCCAATCAAAAAGACACCTGCGGACAGGGTGAACAACGCCTGCCAAGGCAAAAGCTCCAATGCAGCGCTTAGACCCAGAACTCAGCAGCGGCTTCACCTGCCGCGCCAAGCAGCTTCGGGATTCGCGTGGACCTGTTTTGGGGTAAACCCAAGCATGGCCCCAAGAATAGGGATAACACTAACACAGTTAAACTTGATAATATAATAGCCGTTCTATGATGGACAAAGGGGTTAGAACCCCTCAAAATAGATCAACATCCCAAATGTGATAGAATGAAGTGAATCAACTCTCCAATCACATTGCAGCCCATGAGTTCCTTTTGGCGGACCATCGTCCGTTTACGAGTCGTTCGACTGCTCAGCTCTGCACCGGATTTTGGCCCCGAAACCCGGACCCACGCTGCCGTTTACCGAACAGCCCCCTTGGTAGTGCCTTTGCTCCGTTCGTAGCGATGCCCTTTGCTCCTAGTAGCGTCCTTGCTCCTAGTAGTAAGGCCAGGAGCCCCTAGTAGAGTCTGTGCTCCTAGTAGCGATGACATCTGATAAATTTTGAGAATCTCCATATTGCCGTGATGCCAGGAACAATCCATCATAGAAAAACTCTTCCCACCCCATCATGCCCATTCTGCATCACTTGGCCAAACATCGCACATGCTTGACTGCTAGCTCGCCTTCTTCATCCTTCAACACACTGGACCACCCCAAGGTGCCAACACCTCCGCCCCGTCCGCCCGTCCCGCGTGGCCACCTGCTCGTTGAAAACCTCCACGGCCTTCTCGGTAGGCAGGTGCCGCCGGAGCAACATCCCCAAGGCCCAGCCAATCACCTGGCGAAAGGCCCGAGTCGGCTGTACCGAGCGGTTTGGTTTGAACATCCAAAGCCTGGCATCTCTGGCTCCCACCTCCCAACAGAATCAGCTTCGGTGGATGGACCTTCCTTACAAAGCCTCAGCTCTGCCTGCGGCTTCGCAATCAACTCCCAGAGACAAATGGGCCCCTTCTTGGATCTGGGCCCCCCTGCTCTTGGCCTGGCGGTGGGACCACCCAAGAGCCCCCCCCCCTGTCCCTCCCCTAGCCTCACACTCTCTGGGCGAGTCCAGGTCAAAGTTCTGTGCCGTCAAGGCGGCCAAGATCTTCCCCTGCGAGAGCGGCGATCGGATAGCCGGTTCTGCGCGGTGGATCAGTTGAGAACCCGGGTACATGGTGTAGCTATGTATAGCTGATGCTGGGTGCTAATGTGTGTTTTTTCTTTGGCGGTCGAGTTTGGCGAATGTTTTGGGGGCGCTGTCTTCTCCATGCTGGCCATAAGATGCATGATTTGGGTGGTTTTTGTTCGAGGACTGCGTTCTAGAGAGGACAGGGGAATCTTATCGGATCCTTGGCACTCTTCATTAGCTGGCTTCGACCAAGCGAGTGGCACCCGTAGCCCGCGCCGCACATGTTTCTGACTCGAAGAGGTCGCAGAAGGCACGAAAGGGTCACAACTCATATTGCACCACATAGCATGGATATGCCTGATCCCTGTCACAAATCACAAACTCTTGGTGAATCTGCAGTGTACTGTGATGGCCCTGGGTTGGACCTGGGTTGACGACCACGGAGTCGTAAGTCACCTCCGACGTGCTGCATCTCACCGGTGGCCTCCGTTCCTTTTTTCGGGTCTCCTTGCTGTGATAAGCGTCACCCAGTGCTACACGGGCAAGGATCAAAGTCCTTTCGCTTGCAGCCGCAGGCTAGTTTGTGATCTGGGCATGTGTACTGGTGGGATTTGCAAGCAGCGGAGGCAAAATAGACTCCATCACCGTACATGCCACGTCCGCTTGTGCGATGGTCAAAACCATTTAGCACAATCGAATTAGCATTATCCCAACTGGTGCCGTGCAAAAGAATCTTCTCATCGACGTCACCTGCTAGAGGCTCGCCGCAGTCAAACACACTTTGGTTGCTTGTCATGACCTGGCCCGAGTCAAACGCATCGAGATCTAAAGTTGTGGGTGTGACGGAAACATTGTAACTTCCATGTTCCTTCCGCAAAGCCTCTCGCCTTGACTTGTATCCTTGCCACAGCCTCCAGTTTTCAATGCGGTGCACTGATTTCACTTTCGCAGTTCTCATACAAGAACAAATTTGCGAGTTGTCCTTCCCGTGACCAGTTAATCGTGGGATGTCATGCACTTTGTTGTGCATATGCCTCTCCGTGATTTCAACATAATAGGATTCCAACTGATCAGTTTCTTGCAGCAAACAAGCAGGGGTGGTGACCCACTGCTCTGGCACTCCAGGCAGAATTCAAATCCTGCCAATTTTGTTGGTGTCGCATCGTTTTTGCTGCATCAGCCCAAAATCAACACGGCGAGATACGCCAGCAGAATTGATAGTGATTGAAAACCCACAGGTGGGCTTTCGCAGGCAATTCAAGTAAGCTTCTTGCATCTCATCATTCCCTTCGGGTGGCAAAGCATGCCAACATCCACCCTCCTCGTATTGCCAAACTGCACCGTGACCTACCCGGGAAATACGTTTCTGCTCAGCCAAGCGTGCAGTGAGGTGTTTTCGCACTGCCAGCAGCTCTTGAAGGTGTCTTTCAGCACTGTTTCGCTTCGCCTCTTCCTTGGACAATGCCTGGTCAAACCTGTGGTTCTCTCGTTTCTCTTCAGCCAAGCGTGCGGCCAGGTCATTTTGCATTTCTAGCAGCTCTTGAAGCTGTCTCTCAGCACTGTGCCGCTTTGCCTCTTCCCTGGAGAAAGCCTGCACAAACTTGCGCTTCTCCCATTTCTCTTCGGCCAAGCGTGCAGAAATCTCCTCAAGCATGCTTTCACTCCCTTTCCACTTTGACTCTACAAAGAGCAATGCCTGGTTCACCCTGTTATTCTCTTGTTCCTCTGCGGCCAAGCCTTTCAGCCCTTTTCCAGTTTGCCTCTATAGAGCACAACGCCTGGTCCACCCAGTGCTTCTCTTGTTCCTCTTCGGCCAAGCGTGCAGCCAGGTCATTTTGCACTTCTAACAGCTCTTGAAGCTGTCTCTCAGCATGGTACCGCTTTGCCTGTTCCTTGGACAACGCCTGGCTGTGGTTGAACACTTGCTCTTCCAATGCTTCGACCTGCTTGAGGGCCACCAGGTAGTTGCCATGTCCTGGTTGGCAAATGGCTGCCCGCGTTCGTAGAAATAGAACATGTATATACAATTATTTAGTCTTGTCTACCTTACGTCTTACGTACTGCGTTACCAACCCCAAAGCACTTATATCCTTTCGGGGGGCATGGCCTGTTGAAAGGCTTGGTGGAGTTAGCCTTGACCAACAGGTTCCACATGGGCTCGTCTCAGCAAAAGGATTCAGCGAACCTCAATGTTATTAAGTGTATGAATGTGTATGACCATGTCCCTTCTCATTTCTTCTTGGGGCTTTCCTGGTGCCCTCATCATGAGACAAAGCCAAATCTGCCTTCCACAAGAGACCACAAACTCTGACTGCCATGGTCGAACAGCTGCTCGGGTGGGAAGACAGGATTCCAAACATGATCCTAGGAATGCCAAAAGAGGAATCGTGGGGTCACATTAGTCCAGGTACATGTGCAAAAAGCTTAGGAGCTCGGCAAGTTTGATATGCATGATCACTACGGTCTACCATGGTTTAGGCGTGTTGTTCTGAACAACTTTCCTTCGCACCAATGTCCCAACATCAATGCCTCAAGAGATGTATGAGGATTCGACTGCAAATGACATTGCAACTTGCAGAACATGCCGAACACACCAGCCCTTCTCCTGAGTCCAACATCCACTGGACTTTGAAAGCTCACAAAACCATGAGGATCAGGGCCCACACGCCAGTCCAAAGTTGGTGGTAATGAAGGATTTTCCACGTTCACGTCGGGATTGCAGGCCCATACTTCTCTGCTGCCCAGAATAGGGCCAATCCACCAGCCACACCAGGATGATGTGTGTCTGTCCGAGTAATAGTAAATGAAACACTCCGGAGGCTCATCCTTATGGAAAAAGTAGTTCCGGTGATAGGCTTGGCCGCCCATGATGTATGTACCATGAGTCCGCTTCGACTCGAACTCATTGCAGGAGCCTGAGACCTGCAATGTGAGCCTTGTCGGACGCCGAGCGGGAACGCGTGTGCGGCTCCTAGAACGGGAAGTCCGTTGCTCTTCTGTGGCGTCCAAACGCCTCACGGACTCTGCGATCACGGACGCCTGACTTGCAAAAGAAACAGCAGCTCCTTCCAACGACTCTGTATGCTCAAACACCTCAACAAACCAACACCAACAGATTTTAGTCCTTCGTGAAAGCACGGGTGCAGGTGACCAGCCAAACAAATGCATGCTACAAGAACAACATGTTGTTCATGAACTCTCCCTTCTCTCTCTCTCTCTCTCTGGCTCTATTCTCGACCAGTTACGCAAGTTGAAGGCCGAGCAGGTGGAGGCCCGCCACCAACCGTGTCGCTCACGGGCGATGGCATGCAGGACTCCGACTCCAAGCGTCCATGGCAGGCGCCAGAAACTGCGCCAGAACTGCAGGTAGCAAGGATGCAGCAGTGAGCAGTGCAGGCGTTTGCAGGTGGGCCGACCAGTTGAATGGAAGCTCCTAAGTAAGCTGCTGAATATTTGCTGGTTGTTCCTGGGAAACGTGCCAAACAAATTTTAGCAAGTGGCTTCCACAACAACTCAGAATAATGGAATGGGTTGACGGAACTTCAGCAAAAACAACCTTGAAAGTTGATAGGGATAGCCACAACATTCCAACGCCTGTGATACAAAGCCGCGAAACAGTACGTAAAAAAGAGCGGTCATGCTCTTCGCTATTGTATTGGATTCGAGGTTGACACAAGCTGGCAAGCTGGTTACAGTATAGTTGGTTGCCTGAAGAAATTCTGCTATGGATGATGTCAGCGGAGATTTCTCGACGTATTCTGCGTGGAATCTGCACCCGCACCTGTGATCCATATGATTTGAATTCATCTCGATTTGAAAAGTGCTGGACGTGGTCAGCGAAATGAACTGCACTTTTGGCATCGAATCATCGAGTAATCAAAGCCATGGGAAGGCCTTCAGTTTACAAGCGGCCGAAAAAAATACACCATGGTGTCTCGACTCGACTTGTACATCGACCACTTCTTGACCTCTCTCCCACCTCGCTGAAACAACCCCGATCGAGGCAGCTGCCTGTGCGGTTTCACTCGTTGCTTGTGGCAAGTTCAATAGGACCTGCGATGGGCGTGTTGAAAAGCAAAGGATCGTTCAGCCTTGGGGAAAGGGGAACTTGAGGTCATGGCGACAAAACCACCAGTCTCAGGCTAAAGCAAAGTCATGAGTCATGGTTCTGGTTGAAGACCTCATACCGACAATCAATGACAAACAAATATTTATATATAGATGGTAATCAGGTGTCTGTTCTGCCCTGTTTTACGCCCTGTGTCTGAGTCACTTGTCCCAGTTAATATTGCGGCAACATCTGCGTATGCTATCCCAGTCACTTCCCTCCTCACTAACATGGCACCATCTTCCAAAAACCAGCTACAGCATGCTACAGTAACGCATCTCGGGCGTATCGGACTCGATTCGCATGACCAAGACCCTGCCTCTCCTAGCGCGTGGCCCATGGCCAAACGCGCCGCGGGGTCCACCTGATTGGACACTCCAGTGCAAAGCCTCGGCCGTGAAGGGCACGGAACGGAAGCCCAACGGTCTAGCTGTTCGACTTGAACCGCCAGGAGTTTGAACATAACAAGTAGATGGCGCGAGAAAAACCTCTCACCCTATACTTGGACCCTCTGATCCTCATCCCATTTTGACCACCATCACTTGGCGCAGCTGCATTTAGTACATGGAGGTTGGCGCTGAGTGCCCAGCTCATTGATCAGCGGCTCGGTTCTGGGCGCCCTGGCACCCGCCGAAGAAGTGGGCGGTGGCGATCGGTGATGTTTCGCCAGAGAAAAGCGTACGTCTGTAGGAAATTACTTCAGCCTCTTCAGCCAAACGCGCGATGATTGGGGCCTCTGTTTTTTTTTTTGGGGGGGGGGGTTGGCCTTTTTGTTTGGGGGGGTTGGACCACCGCAAATAGGAGAGACATACCCCTTCCCTGCCACTTTGGATATAAATATTGGGCACTACAAACTTCAGTGAAAGCAACCCCTCCCTTTCGACATGCATGTCGTGCCATGTTTTCTCCCAGCCTTCTCACCAACATGCCCAGCGACTCTGCTGCCTTCTCCCGCACCTCCTGACATAGCCCGACGCATCCCTCATCTGACTCCCGCAACTGTCCCCCCCGAAATGGACCCTGTCAGCTTCTGAGCACCTTTTTCGGTTGATTCTAAGCAGGTCGATGACTCTAGAATGTCGTGGGTTTCCAACAACTACAGCACCTAATTTTTGGGGATTTTTTGGGTGTGTGTGTGTCATTGTTCCATGCTTCAGGATCGCCCTAACGCCTTGGACCGACCGGGTCGACCACGCACCGGCCGGTCCTCGGAGTTGGGTGGGTCCGAGAGACACTTCACGTAGGTCGTCTGGAGCTGCGGCAGGAACGGCTTCAAGGTGTCGCCTGGAGACCAAGCGACCAAGGCGGCTTTAGATGGACTCAAAGGACGCACGGCTAGATGTTCCTCTAACTAAAGCAGATGGATGGAATTTGGCACGGCTTTTAGATGTTTCTCCAAGCCGTGGCAAATGATGGTTGATGCCTGTGACTAAAAGGACGCACGTTCCGTGCCATGGTCTCATCGAAGCTCTGTGGTCTTAAAAACATTGTGAACTCCTGATTTCAGAGTCAATCGCACTATCTCTCTCTCTCTCTCTTTCCAAGGCGGCCGATCGAATGCCTCTGCCTTGTACCCAAAGGGTGCTGCCCAACAACCTCCTAGGCAAGAAGCCTTCACACAATTCAACCAATCGCCATTCACCCACAAAACGAAAATAAAAATAAAAAAATATATATATACCAGCATAGACCCCAAACAGCATAGAGCCGGACACAAAGCCCGGCCACAGACCACAGAGCCCGGACACAGAGTTCATGGGCGCG